TTAGCAAATACATTTCTTTGATTTATTGCTGAGGAATAGAGAAAAAATGTAACAAACAAAACAGAGCCCGAAAAAATGGCGACAACGACGAAGAAGAGGAACCATTCCAAGAGAGTAGGAATAAAAGAGAGAGAGAGAGAGAGAGAGAGAATGCGGAGATGATACGCAATTTGTTTGCCACCGAATATTTCCCAATATTAAAGTGACTGCTTTGGATTTTCGTTGACGGGCCTACTTATACCGTAGTTTCGTTATATTTCACATTCCCTTGTCGCCCCCTCTCTCGTTCATACAATTGCCTCGCCACTTGTTATATTGTTATTGGGATTTTCACCTGTGCATTTACGTTTAAATACAGGTTCTTCCTTGGCCCGTATCCTATCAGCGAGAACATCGTATAAGTCAAACGGTTGATAAAAAAAAGGACACACAAACAGGGAACCGAAATTTATTGGCATATTCCGTGTGTAAATACCAAATATAAATGCGTACAGTTTGACCTGCGTTGTGTTGATCACTGTTTTGCCAGATGAAACCAATCCTGATTCAACCAACCCGCATGTTCACAATCAAAGTATCGTTTGCAAAAACACAGTGAGTCGATTTTCTCGAGAACATTGAATATCCATCAAAAATCCATTTTCCGACAAAGCGAGCGATAAGTTTACAAGAATCCGAAATTTTTCGACCCAAAGAGTTTTCGTGTGCTAGCTGGTTCATTCGGTTTGATTATTCATCGGCTCAGCGCCATGGGATCGATTAGATGTGGTCTCACTGTGGCAATCAAGTGGGAAAAGTGTGTACCGTTCAGCGTTCTGTATGAAATTATATTCTGCAAATGTGGTCGTTATTTTCGTGCTCACATATAAACAAATCATAGATTGAACCAATTGTATAACTATGTGTATTATCACAATCGGTTTTGCCTTTTCCGTAATCTTTTTGTGCACAGCTCGGCAAGTTTATATAATTCAATGGGAACAGCAGCAGCAGTGGCAGTACTCTGCTCTGCGGTATAATAGCAGTGTTCGATATAATTCGTTCGTGCGCGCTCTTTTTTCTGGTGTGTTGCGCTCTCTCCACAATACCCAAACACTCTATATTGCCTCTGTCTTTTGGTGTGATTTTATCGTTGTTGCTTCAGTTCTCTGGCACTTTTGCGCACAATATGATATAGAGAAACATAAATGAATTGAATTGCCGCTCGGCTATCCGGCATAGATATATACATACATTACTATTTTCACAGTTCTGTGACCTTTGCCATAAGAAAAATACAAGATTTTGTCTCTTTTTTTTGTTCTGTCGCTAGCTACCGTCATTCGTTTTATTTCTTCGCTTTGGTCGCCGATATCTCGATATATTCCCCTTGGTCGCTCTTTTTTGTTCGGTTGTCATTTCAATCTCTTTTCACAGATTGTGTCACCGATGTTGTTTTCTTTTCATCTCATTCATTCATTTCTCCGCTTCTTTCCCCGATTTCTAAGACGTGCATTTTCTTCCATCTCATTTAAGAATGCAGATTTTTCGCGCTTGGTCAAATCAAATTTATTTTGGCATAGATTTAATTTTTTTTTTTGTGATGCTTGAATAATGGCTCGAGGCTGAATGAAAACAAATTACCCATCATTGCTACTGTTATAGTTCAGTCCATTCGTCGAGATAGAAAGCACTCATACACACAGAACGAAATGAATTCTTCTCGTGTTTGCTCAAAAACAATTCAACATGTGCTCGAGAAATCCCCTTGAAACACTCTTTGTTTATCTTTCTCTCGTTCTCTGTCCGTTGTTCGTCAATTGTATAATATTTTTCATTTCGAATTTTTTTGTAATTGCTTAATTACTTCGTACGAAATGCCCTAATTGGAAAAATAAATTTGGGATAATAGCCATAATTTTCGGTTTTAACCGAGCCAACTAAAAAAATAACAGAACAAAAGCTATAGTCTCACTAAAAGAGTATTTGCGTGAGCACTGCAGTGATGACGGTAGTTGGTAATGGAGGTGGACGTGCTGGTAGTGGTGATGGTGGTGGTGACGACAACATTGGTCTGTTGAGAGGAAGTGCGGCGCAAATGAAGTACTAAGCCACTATGAGTTTGGAATTGGAAGTGGAAATAATTAATCGTTCTTATGTTTTCTTTGATTTCTTTGGTAAATATGCAAATCACGTGCTTAATGGCCAACAACAAATCAATAAAGTCATATACCATTAGATAGAACTACAGTTCCGACACACTCTTATAAATTGCCATTGCCTGTGTGCGGTGTTTGTGTATGTTCAATTCGCTTACTCGCTTTTATGCTCCCAAAGTTTTGAGGTCTCTGCACGCTCAACAAATATTTGCCAACAAATAATATTAATCAATTAACCGCAGCAAAGTTTGTTGAGTGCCGAAAACTAGCGGATTTCGGTTTTCGGATTTTGGGCTAAAACTTGCAATTATAGATTCGACGCATTTTCGGTTTCGCAAACTGTTTTGCATACAGAACATTCGGCAATTCGAAAACCGAAGAAAATATTGTTTTTTTTTCCACAACAGAGAGAGATAGAGAGAGAGAGAGAGAAAGAAAGAAAGAAAGGAAGAAAAAGAAAAATCGATTAAAGGATTCAACAAGCTAAATAATGAATTAAACGTAATTTATGGCATTCTTCACATAATGCTCTTGTAGATGGATTGTGATTGTTGTTTTCTTTTTTCCCTGCCAAGAATCATCATTTCATTTGCAATCGAACATGTAATACACTTTGACGCTCTCAGTGCAATTACGTTTTAAATTGCAAACATACAAAATGTGAAAATATACGGGAGAGATGGGAACGTGAAAGCGAGATCCATACAATGCGCTAACGGAATAGTAATATGAAAATGTGCAGAGAAATGGCGCGAAAGAGAGCAAACAAATTTTCGAGCAGAGTGTGTAGCAGGAGCAAAGTAAACATTCAATATAAAAACATTTGCACCAATTTTTCATACAACAACGTCTATAGACATCAGGCAAAGCGATCGAATCGTATGGAATACAAAGAGAGATTCAAAGAGTAAACATCATCCGTTGTTAGCAAAAACATTTTTTACTGGAAACGCATATACGTACAAGCGCACGCGAGACACAACGCAATGTTTATATGTGACACAATAGAACGGTTGTGAACAATTTGTATGGAAATACTTCCCGGAAAAATTGTGCTCCATTCAGCGTACAGACACAGGAACCATAGATATTACACTCTCGATATACGTGTCCCGTAATTTCATGCGAAAATTACAAAGTACAAGTGCTCACGATGTACGGTCGGTTGCTGTTGCTATTGTTTTTGTTGTTGTTATCGCTATAGAGATATAAAACGTTAGTGCAAAATTGTAGACCACTTCTCGATATAGTAAATTTCGCGTGCGCCATGAAAATGTGTTGGGTTTGCTGTGAGGGTAGAGATTTCGATTGGTTGAACTATCGAAAAGCAGCAACAGCAACAGCGACAGCAACAACACAAACAGAGGCAATATTGAAGTAGCCAATAAAATTTCTACATGTTGAAGCGAATGACGGTAGCGGTGTGTTATGCAATTTTGTGTGAACACTTATGTTGCGCCAGTCTAGAACACAATACATACAATCACAACACAACATATGACTCGTTTTGCGAATGGTGTGTCTGCGCAAACGCCGCATATTGTAGTATATCTCTCCACTTCAGTGTGAGTCTTCCACTGTTTCACCCTAGAATAAACGAAAAAGAAGAAGAAGAAGAAGAAGAAGAAGGGAAAAACTGATGATGATGCACTGCACACAAATGCCAATCTGTTGAACAGGCAAACAAGTGTGCCCTATTCGCACCATGCAATGCTACCATTCAAACACTCACTCAACACATCCACATCAACACACAAAAGAAGGGATACGTATTCATACACACACATTCGCTGATTCGCGCGCGTACGACAACACACACACACACACACACTGAATACATATAAAAAGTTCGCTGATCTAATATAGTTATTTATGATAATGGGATTTTTGAAATTGAAAATGCGGATATTTTCATTTATATGTGTATATTTTTTTTCGCTTCGCTGTTTTCTATTTTTCCTGTTTGATGGGTGATTCGAAATGGCGCGTAGGATTGGCATCGTGCGCTATTTACGTAAATATATACCGGATTTGAATTCATTCTCACAGCATAAAGTGGTTCATGAATTATAGTTTTTGTATGCAAATGTACCGAACGGGAGGGAGGGAGAGAGAGAGAGAGGGAAATGGCTTGGAGCAGCATAAGACATCGCATTCGCTATTTATTTTGAATATCATTATCAACACATCCCATTGACAAAAGCCAGTGCATGAAGCATCGGTTGAAACCTGTGAACAGTTATTAGGAGATTTTCACGCCAGCTTTTCACAAACACACTTCAAAAAATTATAGCCAAAGAATATACATATATACGGCCAATCGCACGAATACGAATACGGATGTATTTTGTATTTGGTGTCGGATAATGGCTTCGCGCTGCTACAGGCGACATTTCTCTCGCTTTCGCTCTCCTTTTATGTATGTAGATTGTAAGGGAGTAAGCGGGAGCGATTGTGTTGCAACACGACGGAATCAAAAGCATGGACTACCTCGACTTGCTTAATGTGTACGTATCGGCTTTTCTCTTTTATAGACTCTTTAGTGCGATACACACCGAGAATATACAACCAAAGCCCGCCATATCGCATACAAACATCCATATACACACGGCGATGATGACAATAACATAAAACATTGGAGTGTTTAACTGCAAGCGATGAGAGAAAAACGACGGCAAAATCAACCCCGATTTGGATGTGTTCGGTACGCGCACGTTATGGTGGAAAAGCCACAGGCAGCCGTTATACCGACGTCGTCGACGACGACGATGATTACGATGAGCAACAGCAACAGCAGCAGCAGTAACAGCAGCATAGCATCCAATACAACCAACTGTTCACAAATGCTCCAGTCAGTAACTAGGGAGTGGTATGTCAAAACTGACGCACACATCACATCGTCATCGAATTATTCAGAATAATTTTCTTTATTTTTTTCTTTTGTTTTTTTCGTTAGTTTTTTTCGTTTTCTTCGTTTTCTTTTATTCGATTAAAAGCAAATAAAATGAACGCGGCGAACAAACGTCGTTAATTGGAAAATTAAAGACGGGAAAAACGAAAAGCCAGCAATCAGAATTGAAGAAAACGAGAAATAGAAGAACGAAGCGAAATGAATCATTTTGATTGAGGAAAACGAAGCCAAAACTAGCGCCCGATTCAATTCAATGTGATGTGTTTGATTGTTATAATCGAGTATATTGCGCTAACTTCGATCATTATTATCATGACTTTGTAATCAAGAAATAAAATTAAATGTGTAAACTCTGAATAACAAATATGGTGTCACAAATGACCACGACAACGAGGTAATGCGCCAGAAATAAAAGGAGAGTGAGTGAAGATCGGTGTTTTATTGTTGCCACTTATTCTTTAATAACGGTGTCATATACGATATATGCAAGTGATTTCATAGGTATATTTCGTGTGCGCATACAAAAAGTGATTGGTGATCGAAAATCAATTAAAGCGACAACATACACACATTAAACATGGAACATTGTGAGTTTTTTTTTTTGTAGTCTGCTTCTTTTACTATAGGTTTTAAGTGCATTTGTAGACAGTAGAGTAAAGTAAGCACAAAATAAATACGGCATGTAACTAATATGCCACTAATTTAAATGCTGAATGTTTTTTTAAATACGGCTTTCCGACGTCGAATCGATAAATGCAACGTAACGGAGGAAGGATTTTTTTGTTGCTTTTGTTAGTTTTCTTCTTTCGTCTTATATTTTCTTTTCATAAATTAATGAGAATACAAAACACACAGCCACACACACACACAGAGAGAGAGAGATAAATAGAGAGACACGCATACAGACATTCAAGTCGAGAACAAGGAACAGGAAAAGGACAGAAAGGGATATTAACCCCCGTGTGCAAATGTGTCGAAGGCAACAAAAACATAACAATCCCAGTTTTATTCAGCCAAGTTGCGAATGTTTACACCTTTGTGTTTGCAATCGCATGTGAATATACATATATGTGTGTGTGTGTGTATGTGTTTGCTGCTTCTGTTGCGTGTTACTTTCAGTGCGAGTGCGAGTGCGAGTGCGTATGTATGTGTGTCTATGTTAGTATATGTGAGGGTTTTGTATGCGTGCTCCGTATTGACATCCGCTTGTTTGTTTATTTTGTCTGCGTTCATTTTACGTACGATTCCATTTTCACAGCATTCCCAATCCTACTTCCGCATTTTCCAATGCACTATTTCACAGTCATATGGCAATTTTCCATTGGTTGTTGTATATTCATCACTGAATGTGCGCTACCCGCTATGGTGTGAGCTTCAGCATCATTGCAGCTTGGAGCAAAGAGATTCTCTCTTCCAACTCTCCTTGCATTTTCTCGTTCGAAACTTTGAGATTCGTTGTTTTTTCCCTTCATCTGGATTTCATTTGCGAGTTATAATTGTAATGTAGTTGATTTGTAGTATACACATTGTTAATAGCTTTTTACAAACGATTGCATGCATTTCAGTTGTTTTTATATACCCAGAAAGACGTTTAGCCAATTATTCATTTACGAATACGTCTATTTTTATCGAATGGTGCGGAGAGCATGGAGAATTTTAGATTTTTCCACATTAAAAATTCGAATCAACTTTTTCACGGGGATGTGCAACGATAAAAACAAACATGTCATATGGTTTTTTTTTTTCTTCAGCGAAACAATTTGTTGCTCACAAACAAACTGTTGAGGGTAAGAGAACGATTTAGGTAAAACTTTCTTCATTTCCATCCAAAAAAATGTGTATATGCTGTTACCGTTGCTGTTGTGTCTCTTCATCGTAATCAAATCCGATAAGGAAAACAACAAATTTCGTCATTAATAACATTCATTTGGGATTCTATGTGCGAAAGTACATCATTTATCTTATAAAGCTGAACATCAATTTTAACTGATTATAGAAAATCGGTATGTAACCCTATGATTCATAGCTGTTGCTCGGTTACTTTCGTTTCTCTGTTTATTCACTCTCTTTCTACTTCCAACTCTCTTACTCTATCACTCTGAATTCAGTTTGTGACGAAAAGGAAGCGTCTCTCTCTCTTCCTCTCTCTCTCTCTCTCTTTCTCTCTGTGTTTGTATGTGTGTGTAAATAATACATATGGTAAATATGCTGCCGGTTTTCCATTCTAACTGAGAGCAGCGATCGCATTTTCCATATTGATTTTGAATGGTTCCACTGTGACGCAAGAATAATTATTGATTTTGAACGGTATATTTATAGAGAGAAGATAGAAATAGAGCTAAAAAAACACACAAACACATACACACACATAAAACTACACACTATAAAGAAAACGGAAGGCAACGGGTGTGTGTGTGTGTGTGTGTGTGTGCATATATTTAGATTACATGGCGCACAAGATATTTACCCATCAAATAATTAACAAACTTATAAAACTTTCATTTACATATGAGAAAGTTCGAATCGGTTATTTTCAATCGGGAAAAATGTTGATTTCGATTCGGAGGCGGAGTTGCATGAAATTTGGAATAAAAATGGGAATCAAATCGGATTTAGTTTTTGTAGAGTGCAGAAGAGGAAATGTCGAGTAGGTGCGATAAAGCTCAAACAGGTGTATGAAAGCAATTTTTAGCATTTAGAAAAAAAGCAAATACACGCGCAGAGAGAGAGAGAGAGAGAGAGAGAGAGAGAGAGAGAGAGGGAGAGCGCATTCAAAGCGCCACCGAGTATGTGTATGAGGTGAAGTAAAAAGCTTCAGACATAACAATCAAGTCTTTTCTTTTGCGTAACAATGATTCACATTTCTCATTGATAATTATAGGCGGCCTATAGAAAATAGTGTGTTTTAATGCATAAATGTATATTTCTCCCCTTTTACAGACGGCGTTGATTTAATCGGTTGGCATTGCAAAATGTAGCACATTCACACGTACATCATCCCCCGTCCGAAACGACGGATAAGCTGAAAAAAACGACCGTATATCTATACCGAACGAGAAACACGAGAAAGAGAAAAACGGCAGACAACCAATTACAACAAAACCGTGTGTGATATCTGCTTTCTCTCTTCAGAGAAAAAAAAAACACAAAACGAGGCAATAATAAATCGAAAAGAATACGCCTAACACTGACAAAAGAAAGAAGCAAGATGACACTGTATTTACATACAAAGAAACACCAATTAAACAGTGGCCCTTTTACTGGCAAAAAAGACACAAAGCGATTTTCGAAAGAAAGCATTTCACTCATTGATAATTAGTGAAAAGCATTTAAACATATACTCGACTCAAACACACGGAGGGGGGCACACAGTGTCGCTCAAACCGATTGTACGAACTGAAAGAGAGCGAACAAAGAAAGAGTGATATATAGAGTGTAGTACGGTGTATGTCCTGCATATTTGATATTATGTTTGCATTCAGAATGGTGGAAAGATAACGTGTTCAGGCCGTGTTCTGTAGAAGCGCGCGCTCTCTTGCTCGTCTATTCGAGAGAAAAAGCGAGAGATTACATACACATAAACACTGTTTTATTGTACAAGTTATTAATAAAGACTTCACACAGAACCTATTTTTCTAAAAATAAACAAAACTATATTTAAAACATAACAAGACAAAGCAAAACAAAAAGTTATGGCTAAAGATTTAAAAATAATGTCAAATGACAAAAAAAGCAAAAATGAAAACAAAGCAAAGAAAAAAAACAAAAACACAACAATATAAACACAAACAACGAAAGCAATACTACCCATCCTGTGCAATTCTTTTCGTAATCCAATTCAAATTTATCTAAGACTTTTATAATACTCAATATAAAATAACCCAACTAATAAAGTTCATTCGAATGAAGAGGCGAAGCGAAGCAAAACAAGAGTAGAATATAGATATTTTCCCCAAAAAAAAGGAGAAAAAAATTATGTGGAAGCAAAATTACTTTCAAGTGATATTATCAATTTTAATGGAAGTTTCATACCGATGCGAACCGAACAAAAACACTACAAAAGGAACTATTGCTTGTTAATCTTCTTTATCTTTTGTTGACGTTCAAAAAGAGGAAAAAAAAAAGAAAACTATACGGGAGAGAGAGAGGGAGCGAATGCAGCAACAATAATAATATACATATGTATAGACAGAGGGATGCAGAAAGAGAGGGAGAAAAAAAACTCTAAAAGTGATTTCGATGAGGCACTTAACGTCAGTAAGGATTTGCATTGGCAGACAAAATGAGATGAAATAAGTCGTGCAGAAAATAAGTGGCGAAACCATAACAAAGGACATCAGCGAACAATAAATTATCAGAGGAAAAAGATACAGAGAAAGAAATCGAAAAGAAAAACTTAACATAATTAATTACGTGCAGGAGAGGAACAGAGAGCGCGAGAGAGAAAAAGAGAGAGGCAACGACGAGCCGAAAAAGAGAGAGAGCAAGCAGAAAAAAAACAACAGAAAAAAACATGCCTCGTTGTTTTACAATAAGAAAAGACAGAAAACACAGTGCTCAGCACAATTCGATGCAGCCGCAGAGCAGAAAAATCGCTGGCAGCTCCTGCGATGAAAAAAGCAGCAAACATTGTGATGGCAAAAAACCACACAGAAAAGTAGCTGTTATACAGGTACGAGAGCGGTTCCCTTCTCTTTCTCCTTCTTCTTTTTCTTCCTTACGTTTGTCGTTGTTTTCGTTGCTGTTGCCTTTCCTATTATCGCCACATCTTTGGCATTGATCCGTTAGCACATTGCAGCGAAAGCGAGAATACACTCACACATAGATCCGGGGCTACAGCTTGAAATTGTCATAAATAACCCACAACGAGCTTACGCCCGCATTGAGCTGTAATTGCCTATCTTTTGAACGTATAACGAGTACCAAAAAAACATTTTTTTCCTTTTCTCCCTCCTCCATCCCCCCACCCGAAAAGTGAAACGGTTTGTCGACAAAACAAATCTGTTTTTATTCAATGCATTGATATTTTTGCAAAATAATAAAAAATAAACAGTTTCATTTTGCTTCGATGTTGTTTTTTTTCTATTCTGTGTTTTTTCGCTACAGAGAGCATCAACGCAAATAACCAGCAAAAAATCACAACAACAACAACAACCGAAAGGCAAAAACAGCATCGTCGATGGACGCATTCTTCGTGAACCATCCGATAATAATGATTCAATTTCGAATCGAAGCAACAGATCCAATGGTGTGGTGAGTGGTGAATGGAAATCAACCATAATGCAGCGAAAAAAGCTCATGAACTCAACTAATGCAGCTGTTCAACAGCAAACAAAAGCTACAGCTCCGACCAGTCCGACTGAAGCCACCATTGCTCCAATTTACTACAACGGCAATACAAATGATTCAAGAAATGGTTAGTCACTGTTGTTGTTCGTTCTATTCGTTCTTATCCTTTTCATCCTCAATAATTCGATTCCAAATCCCATTAAACAATTGATACACAACAATTCAAAAACCATTGACTATTCATTTTGCAGAAGGTGTAATCATTTCTTCGAAAACAAATGAATTCGAGCGGCTGTCATATGCGACGAGGGAAAATTACCAACCCTCAAATTATTCGGAAAAATCAAGTGAATTTGTTCGATCCGATGCAGTGGTCACTAATCCCATGTCAATTAATATTAAACGCGATTTGTCGGTAATCGCCAGTGAACCGGTGCATCAAACGAACAATTCCATTGTTACATCCCATCAAATGTCATCCGCAACGGTTTACAAACCCGTTCAAAGTGTTATTCAGTCGACCAATTCGAATGACAACATTTCATCGCTGGTTGGATCCATGCCATCGTTCCCTCCAATTTCCCGATCAAATTCAAACGGTGCGGGCGAGTATCACAAGGATTCCACGTCGTCAATACAGTCGAATCAATACTTTGTACTACGATCATCGGCCGATAGTAGTTCCATCAACAGCCAACCGTCTGTTTATCGTGAGCGTAGCATCGAAGAAACCGAAGCAGCCCATGATCTATTATCACTGTCACAAAGCTTACCGCCACTTCCAGCGCCATGTGTCGTCACCATTTTACATCCAGTTACAAATTACAATGTCAATTCACCCGATGTCCAAGAAATCACACCAAGTCGACCAACAAAAGAGTATATTACGTATACGAGTGGCCGATCCGATATTCATGCGAGAAATAAGAAGAACGTTAGTACACAGTTCGATGCAGAAGATATGCTTCCTGATGATAGCTCCAGCTCCGGTGAGTTTGATTTTTATATTCTACATTCGAAACTCATTCATTCTGCTTATAGTTTCACATTGTACAACAATTATTTTGAATATTTCCATACTTTTTGAAAAATTACAGATATAAATCCGCAAATAACGCCATTGACACCACCAACATCCGAATCGTCTTCGTCCGATGTTGAATTTATATCGGAAGCGGTAACAAGAGGATCTTCGGAAACGTCATCATCCTCATCATTGTTATCATCAGCATCGTCGTCTCCGCAGCGAACGAACGGTCAAAGTGCAAATCAAAAAACTCAAAAGTCAAAATCCGCCCAAGTATTTGGTATGACAATTTTCGATGCCGTCATGATAAATGATGGCCGATCGAAAAAGGGAAACGGTGATGCTGAGGTCATTCACATTGAGGAACGTCGTACGAAGGGCCGTTACAAATGTCCACTCTGCGGAAAGCAATATGCAACATCAAGTAACTTAAGTCGACATAAGCAAACGCATCGTAGTTTGGATTCACAGTCAGCCAAAAAGTGCAATACTTGCGGAAAAGCCTATGTCTCGATGCCGGCCCTAGCAATGCATTTGCTAACACATAAACTCACCCACAGTTGTGATGTGTGCGGTAAATTATTTTCACGACCATGGCTGCTGCAAGGCCATTTACGCTCACACACTGGCGAAAAACCATACGGTTGTGCTCACTGTGGCAAAGGTAAGGCTCTTGCTTTCACATGTTCATGAAATATAAAAATAACTCGCCTATAACCTTTTTTTTACATTTATTTTTTCCACAATATCAACGACACATAGCATTTGCTGATCGTTCAAATTTGCGTGCCCATATGCAAACGCATTCAGTAAATAAGCAATTTGAGTGCACAAAGTGTCGAAAAACGTTTGCACTCAAATCGTATCTAAACAAACACTTGGAGTCATCATGTTTGCGGGAAGAATTTAAAAAGTCATACGATAACAAAAAGAAAGGTGATTCGATGGACAACACCACCGACATTTCGATGGATGACGATATGATTGATGTGACCCAGTGTTCACCGACAGCAGCCAAATCAGTCGATGATTGCGACGAAGACGATGATGACGAAGATATTATCGTAACATAAATCATACGTGCGAAATTCAAAACTTTTCTCTTTCTTTTCAAAAGAGTAAAAACACAAAAATCAAGCAATTCGTGGCAAATAGATCCCGACTCAATAAGACTACTTTTATATAGAATTATACAGACATTTACCAAGTTTGAAGACTTCTTATAAGTAAACCGAAGACGAAGAAAAAGAAGAAATGAAAATCATTAACCGCAGAGAGAAACATGTGTAAATTCAATCAACATAAGGCAAAATTTTCAAAGGCAACAACCGAATATTTTTTTTAAAACAATTGGTGCAATTATTAGAAATGACAACAAAAACAAATTGTAAAATTAGAAAGCAAACGTTTTTTCAATTGGCTCGTGTTTATTGGAGTTTTCGTGTTTTTTGATATTAATAGAAAAGAAATACTTTTACACGCCCTGTGCGCTATCCTCTTCCCTCTTGGTAAGAGAGACGAAAATATGTTGCAGAAATTTCATTTTTGATAACATAACAAAATATTAAAAAAGAAAAAGAATAAGCAAAAGAGTTTCGTTTTCGGAAATTGGTTAGTGTATTTTAAGAAGAAGCTTGATGAAACCAAACAAAAAAAATCTCCGTAGAAATATTTTTTTATATATAAACATAGAAAGAAGAAAAGCAAGTTTCTTGATTTTTACATTTAATATTTAGTGCTTAGCTATTAATAGCAATTAGATTCAAACTGCGCATTAACTTAGTAGACAGATCATTTTTAGAGATTAGTTGCGATTGAACAATAAACAGTTAAATTCAGCATGATTCGAGGCAATTTACGCATCTTTAGCAAACAAACCGAATGAAAAAAAAAAAACACAAACAACAAGAGATAAGCAACAACAACAAAATGAAAAATATATAAGTTATTTTTTGGAGGTTGTATTGATTTTTCTTCTTTCGGTTTAAAACAGAATTTATATCTTAAATTCTGCAAAAAAAAAAAAAAATTTGCAAATAATAACGTTTACTTTTACGTATTTACAATTGATCATTTTCCAAAGAAATTTTCTTTCTTTTTTCATTTTCCGTTTGGAAACGCAAAACAAGCAAAGACCTTTACTAAAACATACAATTTAAATTTACAATTAAAAACTCACAAAAATTCAGAAGCAATACTAAAATTATTCGTAAGAAGTATGTTTAGAGAAAATTACCTAAAGAAAAGAAGATGAAAAATAAAAACTGAGATTTTGAATGGAAAGGAGAAGGATGTAGGATACTACCAGAAAATGAAAGCAACAAAAAAAAAAATTGTTAGAATTTAGAGAGTAGGAAAATTATGCTATACAGTATACACATTTCACGTCATATACAGATAATAATTGAGAATCATTTCTATGAAAAAGCAAACAGAATCTACTGAAAATCACACTATACGTATTTAAATATATTCAAAGCATAAACGAAAGAAAACCAAAATGGATGGAAAAGGAATGCGAATGGTTGCCCTAATGGATTTTATTGAAAGACAAATTTACAAGACGACGAAATGTGAGAGGAACGTGTGTTCATCATTTTAGAGATATTTTTTAATTGTGCAAAATGAAAACCATTTGCCACACACACACACACACACACACACACACTCACGCTGACTTTGTTCAACTCAAATGTGAAAAAAAAAACTCAAACGCAATGCAATGTTTAACCTTGCAAGTCAATTTGATGGCACAGATTGTAATTCAATTGGTTGCACTTTAAAATATATGTCTGGAAACGAATGAAACACACATTCAATGCTCGTTCAGTGCGGACAAATTATTTCTAAACCATTAGAATTTTATCTCCAATAAATTGTCTAAAACGAAGCAAAAGCAACAACAAAAAATGAAGAAACTAAAAACCGTTTTGAAATGTAGTTATTTAGCGTATTTGAGCAAAAGTCGTAGGCATTTTTAAAATATAAATTAAAAGTAACGTATGATTCTATCTTATAGCGAACAATCACGTAATTAACATCACACGCATGTGAACAACAACAGTGCAGATTCAAATAATTTATCGATGAAACGGCGTCTCTTTCCCCCAAAATTCTCAATCGAAATTTTCTGAAAATGGGAACAAAACAAATTGTCTTTCACTTTAAGTTTCTGCCGGCTTTTATTTCTATAGCATGTCTCACGTACGAAATGCTCAATGTCAATCAAATGCATATGCAAAAGAATGGGTTTAAATGAAAATGAAGCCAAAGCTTACATCATCAAACGAACATTTTGGAAGTTTTCTTTTTTCTTTAAGAAAAAAATGATCAGAAAATTTGGATGGTGATCTCATTATACCTTCTTCAAGATGCTTGAATGGCCATAGTGTTTTCGAACGTGAGGCTATTTTGCGACTGCGAAAAATTGGATGATGATCGAATCTCAAGTACATCGCATTGATTGTAGCTACACGAAAGGTTGGGTGAAATTATTTGTGGGGAAGTAAAAGTTCAAAATGTTTCGAGCGAATGTGACGGGAAAAAAACATTATTTAAAAATTATTAAAAACAACTCTGTTAGGAAAACTGTAATTAAGGGACAATAGTTTACATTATCTGGCAATTATTATATTATTTAATGAATATTCCTGATAATCCAAGCAATTAATTTTTTATACCCGAAATCAAATCAATTATTATGCACATTCTTACGGTTGAGCTCTGTTAATTAATGATTTATCGTATCGGCTATCGCCAAAATTCAAAACTATAATTTAGCAACAAAAAAACCATTTTCCCATGCGCTCAAACGCCTCTGCCTGTGTTGCCCGTGCGCACGAATCCAATTGTCAATTGCCAAAATACCTAAGTCATTTTACTCTTCTCTGTAATTGTGTAATCTTGAAAATGATCCACACTGCCCTATCCATGAAACATGAATCATTAGTTATTTTTTTCTCTTTCACCGTTTATATGGTGTGTGTGTGTGATCGATTCAAAATTAGCCGTGTCCCGTTCAGAACTCGTTTAAGGAGAAAGTCATGTGATAAAGCCATTTTGAGAGGATTTTTTTCTCTTTTCGTTTCCGAGTCTTTTGTTTTGGTTTTATTTTCCGTTGTAAACATTTATACTCTCAAATCGAAAGAAGTATAAAACTAATCGTAAGGCTATTAAAATATGTTAATTGTCAGCATACTGTGTAAAGTAAACAACATCTAGCCTTGGATGCCTAACATATAGCCTTTTATGCGAAATTAATTATGATTAAATACAAAACCTCCTTTAAAATTTACAAATCGCCAATAAAAATGACAAAACGGCAATGAAATTGTCAAAAAATTCAACAAAATCGACAACAAATCGAAATAACATGTAACAAAACAATCAATAAAATTAACATTACGTTCATTGAAATTGTCGAATTGAGAAAATAACTCTGACAAAATTAGCAATATATCTGACAAAATGGATAAGAAAAATGACACTTTTCGAGATAAATTTGACAATAGCAAGCACTAAATAAATAAATTTACGTCAAAATTATTGCAAAACATGTCAATTTTGTCAGATTTATTTTCTAATTTGGCAATTCTATTGCCTATATTGTCAAAATTATTTTCTCAATCTGGCAATTTTATTGGACGTAATGTTAATTTTATTGATTGTTTTGTTACATTTTATTTCGATTTGTTGTCGATTTTGTTGAATTTTTTTGTCAATTTTATTGCCGTTTTGTCATTTTTATTGACGATTTGTAAATTTCAAAGGAGAATCCGAAATGAGCCATTAATTATTATTAAACAAAAAAAAAATGACATTTTGCCACCAATAAATAATATTTAAAATTATTGAAAAAGAAGAAATACAATTTTAAATTATACGAATCAAGCCATATCATTTTCTCTTGCATCACGGTGATCTTTTACAAAGCGATTGCTGTCGAAACCAATAACAATCGGAGTAAATCAATCGCCAATCAATGAAAATCAGCTATTTGTTCAAGTTTGAATTGAGAAAATAATAATAATAAAGCTTTCCCTGAATACATCAATAATAAATATCAGAGTTTATTGATTGATTAATATTTGATTTATCACACAATTTCCGTTGAAAATTATTAACACCCACACACACACACACACACACAAAATGCCCAACGGTTCTTTGAAAGAAATTGAATGAAAATTCGAAAATTATTTCCATATTTACAAACAATATGGGCAATTAGTCGTTTTTTAAAATATCATCGTAATGCAAGAGATTCATCAAAGCGATAGATTTATTTACAAAACAGAATTAAATTTAATTGAAAGCAAACGGGCAATAAAGAGAACCGTGAAAAGCTAATTGAATGAAAATAACAAAAATGCGGAAGAGAATCAGCGAAGGAGAGAAAGGGAAAAGAGAGAGAAAGAGAGTTGAAATTTTCGGACGAAACGGAAATAATTGCAATAAAAAAAGATACTGAATACTGGACAATTGTGCAACGAATATATTATACATAAAATTATATATTTAAATTTCACTAGTCATTTCAAGCGCTAGTCATTTTAAAATTACGTATTTAATATTTTTTTGCATTGTACACAGAAAAACAAAAAATTACTTAAATAAGTACTGTAATCAATTAAGAACAAAATGTCTAAATGTCAGAGCCATAGTACGGACTGCGGCTAACACAATATGAAAACCAATGAATTTGTAAATCTGTTCATCGGTCCGCTTACTTTGGTTCAAACATGTAGATTGGTTTTTCATTTCAACTCACCATCATCAATTCCAAAAGAAGTCAATTCAATTAATTGTATGCCTTTGGATACGATATCAGATCAAGATGCGACAGCCATACAAAACTTACATACAGAAACACATTTCGACGAATGTGGACACAAAAAAAAAGCATTTTTATTGTCTTAAATAACTATACTGTGAATTTATTACAGAAGAAAAAAAACCATGGTCAACTTAATTTTTTTGTTTTGTTTTCATTGATTTTAAATCATATGAATTTATGCACAGGTTTTAGTTTAAAGGCTCACTACAACCATTTCTCAATCGACAAAAAAAGAACAATGTAACAACGAAATTAGAAAATTGCTAAATTATGACTTCTTTTCCTGATTTTCATCTTTGCTGGCTGCTGCTGTCTCCTTTGTTGTTGTTGTTGTTGTTGTTGTTTTCGGTGTGTCAACCGGTGTTGGTGGCTTGACATCGACATTCTTTTCTTTGTTCCAACTCTTCAAGCCTTCGGGCAGTGTTGTGTCTTCTTCGAATGATCCAGTGCCCTCGACGAACTCTTCGTACGTCGATTTCTCTTTGAACGGACGTGGTCCGAGTAGTTCAATCATATCCTCGCGTTTCAACACTTCATTTTTAAGTAAACGCTCGGCCACCTTTTCCACGTCGGTTATGTGCTTTTTAAGCAATTCTGTGGTGCGTTTGTGGGCTGAATCGATAAGTTTGCGAACTTCTTCGTCGATTAATTGGGCCGTTTGTTCGGAATATGGTTTGGTAACACGTTCTTGTGTGTCAAAACTGACATTGCCCACCTTTGGATTCATACCGTACACGGCAATTTGAGCGTAGGCACTTTGGGTAACCTTTTGCAAATCATCTTGGGCACCGGTTGTGATGCGACCGAAGAAAATCTCCTCCGATACTCGGCCACCCAGTGTCATACACATTCGATCAAACAATTGCTCTTTTGTTAAGAGATACTGATCCTTTGGCAAGTATTGTGCGTAACCAAGACCTTTACCGCGCGGAATAATCGATACTTTCAACAATGGATCCGAAAACTCCAAATACCAGCCGGCAATCGCATGGCCAGCTTCATGATAAGCAACGGTTCGTTTTTCATCAGGTGATAGTACGTTTGTTTTCTTTTCCATGCCAGCAATGACACGTTCGATGGCCTGTTCAAAATGCTTCATAATAATGGATTCGTTTGAGTCACGCGCCGCAATCAATGCAGCTTCGTTGCAAACATTCGCAATATCGGCACCGGTGAAACCAGGCGTTAATGCGGCCATTTTTCGTGATAGTTCCAATTTGTCTAAATCTGTTTTCAATGGACCTAAATGAACTTTGAAGATGCTGGCACGACCTTTAATATCCGGAGCTGGCACAAAGATTTGCCGATCAAAACGACCTGGACGCAACAATGCCTTATCCAAAATGTCAACTCGATTTGTTGCGGCCAACACTACCACATTCATTGTCGTATTGAAACCATCCATTTCGACCAAAAGCTTTTATAGAGAAAGAATGTGGAATTCAATTAATTACACTGCCACCCAAACAAATCCCAAATTAACGCAATGACCTACCTGATTCAATGTATTCTCGGCTTCTGAATGACCACCAAAGTTTTTACCACCACGTTTTCGTCCGACGGCATCGATTTCATCGATGAACAGAATGCATGGAGCATTTTTTCGTGCCTGTGCAAACATGTCACGAACACGCGATGGACCAACGCCTACAAACATTTCCAAAAACTCGGAGCCAGACACCGAAATGAACGGCACATTTGCTTCACCGGCCGTGGCCTTCGCTAACAGCGTCTTACCGGTACCTAAAACAAAAGATGTTTAATTTTTGGCCTTGTTTTGCATACAAGTGATGTCGGTTCATTGAATGTAAATGTAAATGTTCACCTGGTGGCCCGGTCAACATAGCTCCTTTCGGAATTTTAGCTCCTAATTTGATGTATTGATCGGGATTTTTCAGAAAATTAACAAACTCCATAATTTCAATTTTGGCCTCCTCACATCCAGCAACATCTCTGAAACATTTGAACGAACAAAGCAAATACGTTTGGCACTTATGTTCGTGGACAAACTAATTTAAGCTGAATCACTACTCACTTGAAACGGACTTTAATTTCACTAGGATTGATCAGTTTAGCGGTTGACTGCATAACACCACCGAAGAGACCTCCTCCCTTTCCACCAATCATTGATGCCGATTTACGCATCATGTAGAGGAACGTACCGATGATCAGCAATGTTGGAATCAAACCAGTCAGGTTTTCTGGTTCGAATTGATTTCTATAAATGACATTTACATGATTATTCGGGTCGATATTGAGGTCGAGTTGGACATTCTCCAGATTTCTTTCGAGCGAATCAACGCTGCCAATGTTGAACCATATTGTTTTCTGTAATAAAATCAACACAATTTGCATCTATCATCTAAAAAATACGAAAAAAAAATAGCTTCTACTTACGGTCGTTGTTTCCGTGCCAGATACCATAATAACTCGAACCCATTTTTTATTAATGACTTCCAGGCGCTCAATATTTCCTTTGGCAATCAAACTGAAAAATAATGTAGTCACCATGAATGGTATTTTGTTTTAAATTGACGTGATGTCCGAAGTATTTACTTTGTCAATTCTTTCCAGCTTATCTCTTGATACGAATAACCGTAATATGACATGGCTGCAATGGCAAGTGCTGAACCGATCATACCAAATGTGAACCATTTTTCTCGTTCCGAATTGCCTTTGTCGCCGGATGATTTTTTGCCATCGGATCCTTGGCCACCGCCAAAACTCGATTTGAATTCAAACATGTTTTCGGATCGTTTTGGTCTATTTGAATCTCGTGCTGCGTCCGATGGTTCCGATTTACTAGAACTTTCATTGTCTACTTTTGGTGGTGGTTTTGAGCTGCGTTCTCCAAAAAATTTGCCAAATCCTTTTGGCGGTTTATCACCAAAAAGCGTCCGATATTTATTCAATAAAAATTGTACGCTAGTATATGTTTGCGCTAGAGCCTGCGTTTGCGAACTACTGTGAAGCAACTAAAAATGTAGGAACAATTTTTTTTCGGTTTTAGTTTTTGTGTTGGCAAACACACAAGTGACACATGTTAGCGCACACTCACCGAATTGTGTGTGATTATTGGAAACCTTCGTAAACTGTGCAAAGTATTCGTTTCCAGCCTCGATATCGCCTGTAACATTCGATATGATGACATGATTCGATTTAGGGTGTAAAATGGTGTTTGACTTTAATTCGAATGTACAAATAGCACATAAAGTAATGAATTAAATGCTATCGTTCGTTTAAAATGTCTGTTGAACTGGTGATATAAGTATGATGACTGTGTTTATTGAACAGTAAATTTCACATCTCTTTAATTCAATTTCATCACACAAATTCAGGTCTTTGCTAACATGATATCAAAACCTCACTTTTTCGACTAGAAAACCTTCATATCTACGGTATCATTTGACAATTGCCCATCAACATGACATTTTGCATTTATTTTGAAAGTTATTCAACGACCAGCATGAAGTTGTTCGTTAGTGAGGCCCATTGTATTCTATTAGAATCTAGACAATTGAATTTTTTTAAATTATTTTTCAATTCGTTTTTGAAAGCAATTCATAAACAAATCGAAATTGACATTGAATAAATTGCAGTTCTACCTTTTTTTAACGACAGTCAAAGTCGTTGTATTTTTGTTCGTTAAATGGTTTGCATTACATAAAATAGAGCACCTGTTTGTGCTAATTCTCTGTACGTTTGAAACGCAGTGAAATTAGAAAAGTGACAGTTTTGACCGTTTGTAGATTGCACACGAAACGTAATCGTGGTGTTGAATGGGACGAGACGAAAGACGATTTTAGTGCAAATAAAACATTTTCCGTTAAAATAGTTAACAAGATGAATTTGAGTAAAATCTCGCAAGCCGAATTGAATTTAAGTATTGTGGCCGAAAAAATCGTTACAAATGCCGGTTTAATGTCATATCACTTGTTTTGCCCATTTTGTGCTGACTTTTATTTGTTTGAGTTTACGCTAAAAGATCATCTGAAACGAGAGCATTCATCATTGATTCAGAAGCATTTTAAAAATGTGTGCTCCAATGAAAGTCAAATGAATTCGTCCAATTGCGATTCATCACTGCGTATTCGCTTTTTAAACGAATTCAATCATGTGTGTGACTTGTGTGGCGCAATGTTTATGCGATCCGGACTGATTTCCAAGCATATTATCAACTATCATGGATCGAATTGTTTTGCCGTGTGGCGACAACAGCATCAAAAATCGAGCAAAACAAAGAGTACCAGCATTGAGAATATCTGTGAAACGAGTAAAGATGATCCAAAAGAGATGTATACAACGGGATTATGTGAAATGTTCCAAGGAATTTCAACGCATGATTGCGATGAATTTACAATTGATCGAACACCACTAAAGAGTATACTCAAAAAATCAGCATCAAAATCGGCTCGCATCATCAGTTCACCATCATCGTCCAGCATTCGTCGAATCAAAAATAGTACATCCGTAAAGCGATCAACATCGGCACGACGTGTGCTTCGCTTCGATACGGCAAATACATCACCGTTGGATTTGGAAAATATTCCATTTGGCAATATCAATTTGAATGATCAACGAAAATCCCGAAAGTCCGTTGGCAAAATTGTTCGACGCATTTTGTTTGGTCAGTGTGGTGGTGGTGTTTCAAAGACCAAGAAATCATCGCATCGGTACTCGGTAACCTGCACACCAGCCCCTCTCATCAATGATGCATTTTAACAATGCATTCCAAATAATTTACTCAGTTTCACCAAAGGAGAATGGAAGGCGATAAAAAAAATCTGTGAAACCAACTAAAAACATTGTCTATCGTTGAATAGACACAAATTTCATTCATTCATTCAATTCATCATGCAGTCAAGTAACTTGACGAACAAAAAATTTCATTGTGCCGTCTCCATTGAATTTGATATTTAAAAAAATATATATGTTTCGGTAAACAACTTCATACCAAAAGATAGGTAATATTATGCACTGTATACTCTCTCTCTCTCTCTCTCTATTTATCAGAACAAAACGTCAAAATGTCCAATTATCAATAGTAAAAAAAAACGATTTAAGTGTATTTGGAGCTTTGGATTAAAAAATAAAAATTATTTTTCATTAATTTATACCATTTGGAACGAAAAAAGTTGTGTTTGTGTGTTTTATTTTGTATTCATGAATTTCAACAAACCAAAAGAAATGGATGTGGTTAGTCAGCCGCAAACAACGAAAACATTCGAGTATAGTTATACGGATTTGGATGGTACAAATAAGACAATTTCATATCCTGTATTGTTTCAAATTCAAAATGAGACGATCGGTGAATTGGCCTATAGAATTGTTAACGAAACGATGAGCCCATTGATGTGTGCGCTCGATGTACATTTGTCGGTTCGAGTGGAATTGGAGAAATTCATGTTGGAACATAAACGGCGGCAGCGTTGCACAGATGATGATGAGATTTTAGCGGCGGTACAAGCCGGAAATGTTGACATCGACAGTTTGGTGAATAAAATTGACAATTGGCACAAAGACGAAATTCTCGAATGCACAACAAAGATTGGACCTAGCGATGAGGAGATATTTGCGCAATCATTCCACCGGCTAGTGCATTCATCGCAATTGATGGAGATTCTATTAAAGGAGCAAACGTATGCAAAATCCATTATCGAAATCAATCGAAAGCGTGACGAGCAAATAAAATCACTGATCAACGAACAACAGACGGAAATGGAGAAGAAAATCGATCAACTGGACGATGGCACAACATCGGAAGACATAAATAATCTATTGAGCCAGCATTACAGCCGACAAAATTTACTGCAGCGACAATGGGAATCGGAGTTGGAAGCAAAAATGGGCCACCAAAAGAATGATTTTCGCAATTGGATTGTTAGCTTGCTTGGTCAAACACTGTACTCAATGGATGAACGACAATCACTAGCTAGCAGCAATTCAAATCACAATGAATCCGATAATGCTTCGATGTTCTACATGCAGACGCCTACTTTCGAGGAGAGTTTCACTATCTACTTGGGCTCACAATTGAAGCATATGCATAATATGCGCTTGGTTGCAGCGAATATTTACGATTTTTGCGATTCACTGCACATCAACGAAAGCATCAGTGGTGCTAATGTGGCACTTGGCCTATATTCATCCGCACTTTCCGGAATCATTCTGCTCACACTATCCGGTCAAGTGAAAACGAATCGAGACTTGTGCAAAAATGCTTCCATGTCCACTGAATTCCATTTCAATTCGATCGGGCAGCAAATTGAAGAAATCCAAAATGAATTGAAGCTGGTAAAAGAGAGTACCGGCAAACTGAAACCAGGCGACTTTTTTATTACCCGACACTCGAATCTATCACAAACACATGTTATATTCCATTTGATATCGGACGAGGCGTCAAACAGTCCTGAAGATATAACATCGAGACATCCGGTTATACTGGGATTACGTAATATATTAAAAACCGCCAGCCGATATGATGTCACCAATCTATCCATACCAGCTCTCCTGCGACACGAAATGTCCGAGGACATGACGGTGCCGTGGTGCAATCGACGTGCCGATTTAGTTTTCAAATGTGCCAAGGGTTTTATCATCGAATCAGCATCATGGGGCGGCTCCGAATTTACATTGCAGCTTGTGTTACCACAAGACATCTCCTACGAATTATTCACAACGCTATCAAATACCGTACCACAAGTGTTTCGCTTAGCAAACGCAAAGATATTCTCTACATCGATCCAATAAAATCGATTTTTGTTTGAATTTCGAAACGAAACAAAAGAAAATTCCCCCTCTATTTAGAGCTAAAAAAAATTGTTAGAATTTTGCATTTTAAATATCATAGATTATTATAAGAACACCCACTTAAGCCGATTGTACAATTTACAGTGTAAATAATCGCCACTTTTGTGATACAGCTTTATGTGGATGTACCCATCATTATCGTTGCTTTTTAAAATAAATCTCGAATGCTGAAAATTCAATTGAAAAACGAACACCGTATTCTGCTTTTGTCGTTATGAACTTTATTAACTGAAATGTTATGTCATTGATTTTTTTAAAGTAAATTTGGCCGTTATAAAATACACACTAACAAACACTTACGATGCTTGTGAATAGTGTCTACACGATGAGATTAATTAATTTCTAAGGCGAAAAATCTTTATCAACGATCTGTTCCATGTGTCCATACATACCACCCTTTTCCCCATTTCAATATCTCGCGTAGTACTTTCGCTTCCCGATTTTTAATATTATCGATCACGTTTACATCGACAACAAACAAGTTGTTTTTCTTATTCCAATCCACATCGTAATGCTCGTACTACAAAATGAAATTTGCAGCCTTTTCTTGTTTCGAATCGAAAATAATTACAAAATAAAACACAAACATTCACATTCACATTCACATTCATGTCAAACTTAATTTAACTTCCTTTCAACAAAAATATATGATTTTTCTCCTTCTTCTTCTTCTTAATTATCTTAATTTCGAAACGATATTATCTACCTGTTTATTTGCTTCTTTTTTTCTAATGAAAAAATAATAATTATATTTTTTTATAAAAAAAATCCATTGAGATTGGAGACCCTGATGAAAAATTTGCTAAAAAAAATTACTTGGTAATTAAAAAAATTCGATACTTATAGCAAAGAAAAAAATGCTGCCGCTTCTTCGTTGCCATCTATGTGCATGAAAAATAGGAAGTATTCAGGTGTCATCTTTATGTAGTCGCATAAAACAAAAATTTCATTTCATGAAGAAAAAAAACCAGAACAACTTTTTGTCTTTACAAATTCTTTAAAACCACACTCCATTTCTTACACACATAGACCAAACTAATTTTCAACCCAAAAAATAACTCTATATCGTTTATATTTTGAATTAGACCGTCTATTTTACGTGTAAAGCCAAACAAATGACTCTATTTTTTACAAGCGGTCAAAAAAACAAATCTCGCCTGAAACAGTGAAAACTGCAAGAATGCGTTCGTGTTGTCTGTTGGTTGATTTGAGTTATTTGTTCGTCAGTGTGTTGGCTGTCATGTTGTAAAATCATATATTTATCGACTATTTCGACCGTTTTGGCTAAAAACATTTAAAAGCATTAAAACAATGTTACTTATTTATGTGAAAACGGATGGTCGCAAAATTCATTGTATTGGTTGTTTGTATATATGTATGTATGTGTGTGTGTGTGTGTGTGTGTGTGTGTGTGTGTGTGTGTGTGATGCATGAAGCTGCAATCTCACTATTGCTCCGATGCCACATATATGTATGTATGTTGGTATAGTCCGAGAGTGAGATAACAGCGAAACATGATGAACATATGTACTTAAATATCATTTAGGCGAATTTATCTTATTTATTTAATTTGTGCTCTTGTTTTTGCTTTGGAATCTCTACTATGATTTTGCGTTTCCTTATTTCTTTCATTCATATTTGTTTTTGTTCTTGTTTTTATTTTGGTAACAAGGTATTGTTTTTTTTTTATATTTTCTTTGGGAATATATTGCACTTCATTGATAGATTCAGCGGTAAACGACGACAACGACGACGTTGACAACACAAATGGTGACTATGGCAAACAAAATGTGAAAATGAACACGACTCAACTTACAAGCGAGTTATTTCGGACACGGTGCTGACGGTCTCACCGTTTTTAGTTGCGTCATTTTTAGATTTTGTGGCCAGCGGCATTGTTTTACAAACAGCTGTTTTTGGCAAATTGGAATAGTAACCGAGGCACTCCTTCGATTGTTGTTTATGTTTCAGGGCCGGTCCATTGCATTCGCACGAATTAATGCTTGTGTTCGATACGTTGTATGTGTCCAATAGATTATCCGTGGATTTGGTGAACGATGTGGTTGTTGTGGTAGCGGTGGCAAATTCCTGAACAAATTGCGACGGTGGCGGTGCATAATTTTCAATATTATTTAACATTGAATACCGCCCCGATGGATTTTTCCTTGGCACTGAATTATGTTGTTGATGATTCGAATGAACGACTTCGTTTAAATTGCGATTGGTCGCTTGTGATGAATACAAGATTTGTGAATCGGATTCCAAAAAATGCGTACGAACCGTCCCCGCCGTTACATTTGTACGAGCTTTCGTATTGGCTTTCTCCAAATATCCATAACCAAAACCATATCCGCCGATTGCCTTCATCGCCAAATTATCCCATGACTTTGGCTTCTGCTGAATGTACTGATTTGACCAAATAAACGGATTAAATGGTTGTTTATAAAGAAATACGAATTAGAAGCACATTTCCGCCTAAGGAAAATGGGAAGTTGACATTTATGGTAAAAAAAAACCTACTTGTGTGTCGTAATACGAAATGTTTTCATGGTTTGAAATTGGTTGCGGGGCTGCTACTGCTGATGGCGCCGCCACCGCTTGTGTCGTTGCAATATGATAGCCTCTCTTTTGATGATGGTGATGATGATGTCTATGTGGTGGCATTACATTGGCGCTACCTAGAAACAAGATTACGATAGAATTTAATAGAATTTTCTCTTTCTAGTTGCTACAGCATGCAGAGAAAATCGGTTTGATTCATACTTAGCATTGCGTTTGGATGCTGAAGACTATTGTACGATTGACGAGATTTGATTGATTGCTGTCGACTATTCGTGGCAGATGCATCACTTTGTTGATCCCAATACAATGTATCCGTACTTAATGACGTCGTATAGGATGTGGCACTACTTTCAACGCCACCTCCGCCTCCGTCATAGTCACTTGATGTTAAACATGAATGAAGACTACAACGTGATGCCAATTGATTGCTCAAATTGTGTAGTCGACGGTGATTCTGGGTGGAAAGGAAAAGTAGAAAAATCGTTCCCTCAAACACAAGCACATTTTCAATGACGAATTTTCAAAGAAATAAACAAAACAAAACTACTTACATGTTTCTCGGTGTGATTACACTGTGCAGCTTGCTTCTTATGACAAACATGTGACTGTGATCGGGGTCGCTGTGAACGGTCCTTTTCTCGGTGCTTATGCTTATGTTCTTTATGCTTTGACCTTCTTCGAAACAACAAGAGACACAAATTAAAATTTGAAAAACCGAAACTAGGAAATCGCTGACAAAATGAAAAATCGAATATCCAACCTGGTCGGAACACATTCGGGATTGCAACAGGGACTGGCTAAATCATATGCATCAAGGCTAACGTTATCACCGTTGTTTTGTTTATCACGTTGTCCCAAGCATGGATTACATGATCGTTTATGGCAGTGGTTTCGAGGTTTCGGATTGCATCGCGTCGTTTCCTTTTGATTGTCGACGTGATTTTCGACATTTTCCTGGGAAGCATTCAGTTCATCGTGAGACATACTATTCGTACTGTAGAATTGTTGATTTCGGGCTGGAGGTCCAATGCTCAGCAAGTATTCGCCACTATTCGATGCGGATGGTTTTAAAATGTAACGACACTGTGGATCCAAATACTGATAAGTTGCCAACATAACAATGTGTTTATTCGCTTTGGTTAAATCATCCTCCGAAATTGGACGAACCGTTGGAAATGCCGTTGTATTTATATTCGTTATATCGGAAACAGACGGCGTTAAGTATTCGGTTGACGGTGATACATTTGACGTGGACGCTGCTTTTTGCTTTCGAGGTGCCGGCAAACTGTGCGTTTTCCATTTGCCTTCGAGTAGTTCACGCTCTCTCAAACATGTTCGTTCTAGTTCATTCATTTTTGCATGCAACACATTCTGCAATTGAATGTATCGCATATGCAGTTCCACCTTTCGTACGCAGTCCTCAAACAACACAACCATACGCATTCGCGAATCACAATTTTTTATGCATGTAACAATCGTTTTATGATCAGCCTTTTCCATATCAGTGCCATTAATGGATAGAATCACATCTCCTTCGCGCATTCCTGCAACAAAACGCACACACAATAGTCAATTAAGCCAAAGATATGATACCAAAGAGCATATAAGATTTTCGCGAACGAAAGAGAAAGAAAAATATCATCAATTCCTTACCGCTTTTGTAGGCTGGAGCATCGTATTCGACATAATCCACGTACGTAATCATTTCAACCTTTAATAAGTAATAATTATTAATGGTTATAATGCATGGGAATGAAAAACAAATCCAAAATTATCATGGATGCTTTGAGTTTTGTCACAAGATTCATAACCATTTGCTGATTATTAAAATGGTGCAACTTGGTTACTGTTGAATGGGAATACTTTCTTTTTTCGTGTGTTGCAACTTTTTATTTTGTCTGCTACAAAACTAATTTTTTTATTACAGTGAGCGGCTGCACTACAGTTGTGTTGTCGGTTGCATAGATCGAAAAATAGCCTGGGCGCTGACGCTAAGCTTTCAAATCGAGATTTATAATAGAATCGCCTGTGGCTATTTGCAATGCATTGATGCAAAATGCTCTTCCTATCTCTTGGCTCGAGCGCGCAAAGCGCACTTTTGAAATTTACATTCAACCCGATAAAAGAGTGTGCGCGACAACGCACAACCGTGTAAAATGCGCTAAGCGAATACAAAGTGGACAATATATAGTTAACATACCTCTTGCTCCTTTTTATAATGAATGCCGTAACTTTGTAGCGTGAAGCCAAACGATCCATTTTTCTTTTCGACGATAATGGTACGCCTGCGGCGATCTTCTTCTGGTTTTGTTACCGGAATTCGATCCGATTTAATCCGTTGCAAAACATGTGATGACTACTCTCATTGCAGATGAGAGAGAGAGAGAGAGAGAGAGAGAGAGAGAGAGCGAAGCCAAGGGACGACGATGCAAAAAAGAGAGAAAGAGACAAAATAAAACAGTTCAAAACATAATGAAAGGAAAGTTAATAGACGATTTGCTCCAAAAAAATGGAACAGCATAACAAAAAAGAACAGTGAAAAATATTATATTAAAAATATACGGTACTTGAATGATTGAATCATGATCTTTACTGCGGTCGTCGATTGACTCCTGGCTTCGATTCAAGCTTAGGCCACCTTCTGCCATTTTAACCGTGCATCAATGGTACATTTAATAAAATTACCGCACCTAATCCGACGGTTGCTTCCTGTGCGAATAGAATATGTAAAAAATGTTACAATAAATTGGCCGATCAACGTCGAGGTCTATGCCGCTCGCTTGAATGAAAGTGTTGATGTTGTCTTTACGATGGTTTCTTCTTTCATTAAAAGTAAAAGACTCTTCATTTTGTTGAAACGAAGAAGATGAAGAATATGTAAAAAAAAAACACCAATTATACTCAGGCATCGCATCGAATGCATACTAATCAGTTTTCAGTTGATTCGCTTATAGAAAAACTTTTTATTCTGAGTTCGAGATTATTCAAAGTTTCCTGTTGTATAAATTTCAAGTTTTATTGACCATAAGCCAGTGGGTTTTATGATAAATTTTTTATCAATAACTAATTTAATTCTTCAAAGCAAAAAAATCCATTTTTTCTCCAGTGGAACAAAGTTAAAATTTAATTTGAATACAAAAAAACGGAGCAATGTTCAACCTTGTGCAACATATATCGTTCACCATATGCAAATGCGTACATATTAATGAATATTTATTAGAATATTAGCCGGACACTTGCGGCCAATAAAACTCTGACTGCATTAAAACCCCACATACCTGAACATTTTCGATTGGACAAGTTGAATGTCACCGTTGAGGTTGAACCACCAATTTTTGCGTTGCAAATTGCACAAGACAAAAGGTCTTTAAGCACCATAAAACAGCGAAGAAAGAAAGAAAACAGCACAACTATTAGCAATTATTCGTCTGGACAGAGAACGAATCCAATACACAACTCTTTTTTTCTCTCTAATGAGCCAAAATGAAAACTTGACGATTTTTTCTGTTTTTTCTTCGTTTCTAGATTATGGACACTAATTCCTATCGAACGAAGGTAGAAAAACGAAACATTGCGAATAGTTTGGTAGCGTCGTCGTTTATATAAATCATGTTTACATCGAATCATAAAAAAGACTAAAATGTCAAATGAAAATGGTTTTTTGTGTATTTTTGCTATGTGCCTAAGGATATGTTTTCCATGAAATGTTCGCCATATTCACCTTTCTGTTTTGGGTATTCACTTGGCGACTGCGTGACTAACACTAAATCCATCCACTGTGCCAAAGATTTGGTTTGCCGTGTGCTGCGAGCATATCATTGCTGCTGCTGCTGCTGTCGTTGCTGTTGTTGTTGTCGCTGCTGCTGCTGCTGTGAACTCGTTTGTGAATGTTGTTGAGGCCACGGGAAAAGCCAATAAGAAAATTCCATATACACTGGATTCGAATCAATTTTCCCCTTCGGTGTTTGTGTGAATGAATGAATCGGATGGGTATCGCGTGAAAATGCAAACTTCAATTTACAGCCCTTCGTACGTACATTGAATATCAATGAAGAAGAGCCGGAGAGAAACAGTAATGGAAACACATCAGATGAGAACATTCAAACGAGGCAGAGGGGTTGTGAGTTTGTTTCACCATTTTATTTTTCATCGATAGAATACGTACTGCATGGTACAGTATACACACATGCATGGAAATATGCCATCAATCATCATAACAATGCTTTTTATTTTGCGTTGAACTATTATGAATGGACGTCGCTTTACTCTCTCTTTCTCTTTTTGGTGAGAGTGGGTGCATCGTGGGACTAAAACTGCCTGCCTAACCACCAAAATAATGTACTCTACTAATCCAGCTTAGATATTTTATCTCTTGCTTATTTTCATCTCTCATTCTATCATACAAAATTAATGAGACCGCTCCGGATATTCGATAAAAGCATTTGGAATTTGGATTTTAAATATTTACCGTAGAAAACTAAGAATATTTTATAATGTACTACTTCCCCATGAAGTACCTTATGCAATATTGCACGAATTTTCCTATTTGTAGACAATTGTTTTTCATTTCCCCTTTAACGCATTTCCCCGCCAGATATAGAGTAAAAGCCACCAATTTTTTCATGGAAAATTCAAAGTACAAACGTCAAACGTGTGAAACGTGAAGAAAGAACTTGAGTCTTTTGAGTCGTTACTTAAACCGTTGAAATCACGATTTTGCAAAAAAAAAAAAAAGAAGAAATTCACTCCTACGAGCATCATATTCACACTTCCCGAAGCAAAAAGAACTGTCGTAAAATCGATTGTTGAATGCCAATATTTATGCAGTGATATAAATAAATATATAAATACTTACAGTGAAAAATTTACCCGAATGTACTCTATATCTGGTATCGATGATGTCTAGGAGACTAAGACCACAACCAACTCCAAATAAGATACTGTTACATAAGTTCTTTTGAAAAATAAAATTGCGGCTCTTTTTATTTTTATGATTGTTGATGTTGACTCGAAACCAGGGAGTTGGATACACGAGGTGCTCTCTGAGTTCCATCACATGGAATGATACGTGTGACGGCATATTTTTACACGGAACTTCGTTCCCAGTGCACCGAACACTTGCTATATATAGAGCGAACGTATCCGAATATTAGAAACCACACGTTATTACATGTAGCTAGTGCTCGGCGCACTGGGAACGAAGTTCCATGTGAAAATATGCCGTCACACGTATCATTCCATGTGATGGAACTCAGAGAGTGTTGAAGAGTGAACGCATCATGCAGGCGATGTCCAATAAGTTCGCAATGCCCTGAAACAAAGAGAAAAAAAAACACACACACACACATTACTATTGTATCAATTTCAATTCAATGAATAACATACCTCTGTACAAGATCAATTTTGCAGCCGAAATGTCACGTTGCCAAACTGTCTTCAGTAATGAAAAGTCGTCAACAGGGTCTTCGGGCTCATATTCATCTGTGTACTCGATAATACCTCCGCCGTGATTGCTAACACCTCTGCGTTCTTCAACATTGTCATCCATACCGTTTGCCGCGTTTTGTTGCCAGTTTTTACGGTAGCAAATCACCTTAGACACAAAACCAAGGGGTTGATCTGGATTCTGCACTGCTGCTTGTCGCATCGCTCGTCGCTCTGATCGCAACTTCCGCTTGCTCTTTGCCGCTACAATTTTCTCTGGTAACTTCATTCCATCCGGCCAATCATCTTGATCGAGCATACACCATTCACACACCTTGACAAGATCGTTCAATGTGCTCAATGGAAACGGTTCGAAACATCTGGCACACAATCGTGATGATCTGGCTTCGTTCACAAATCGTATTGCATTGCCTTCCATTTGAATATGTTCTGAGAATATGTTCGAATTTTTTGTTTGCTTTCAACACTCGATTGATTTTCTCCATGTTGAAAATCATATTGAAATAATACGCTTGATTTGATTTTAATGTGACGTGGCCCACTGTATGTTGACAACCATATTCATCACGCCTACTGGATACATACAATGAACTAGATGTGGCAAATGCAGTGTCATGGGCAATGAAACGATATGATGCAGCGAGAGGTGATGCTAATCGTTTGGCCAAACGAGATCGATTGCTGCTTTGTGTTCGAGACATTCGTGGACCGGCTGACGATGATATCGGTAGGCCATTCGCTCGGTTAGTGTAGTTCTGTCTGAATGCATTTAATCTCAAGAAATACCGTAATCGTTTCTGTGCATATGTATCTAAATTCGTCTTCACATTACGGCCATATTGTTGGAACAAATATTTCATCAAGTTACCGAAGTAATCATTGTTTGGCCATGCGGAGCGATTCTCTGTGTCCACATTCTCAAAGCATTGCCGGAACCATGGATTCATAATGAGATCGTCTTCCATGTAGCGCCGCAACACAGCATAGAAGCAATTTTCGATGATGTGCATTCCATCGCCATCGTCGAAATATTCCCAATTGCCGGTGATGATGGCCTGTTCAGTGGCAGCTCTGACTTTGTTGAGGAATAAAAGCGACGCCAATTCAGATATTTCGGTGCATTTTATGCGGGTTTTTGTGATCCATGGCAGAACACGATCACGTTATTCCGGTCGAACAATACTAGCGGCGGCCAACTTGATTGCAAAGTATGATTTCTCCTCCTTTTGCTGACCATTTTCAACTTTCCACGGTTTCGGCCTATCCTTTTTCCGCCCATTGAACTGAAAAAATAGAATGAAAACACAAAAAATTACTTTAGAACGCACTAGCAATGATTTGTTGTTGCTTTTGTGTGAAACAGAAAGAATTTCACAATACCCTACGACTATTTCACAATCCCGTTAGAGTGTTAATGCTGCTTTGTGAACGATGCTATGATATGCGAACGAATGAGATTCTAAACAACAACAAAAAAAATCAAAATGAGGAAAATAATTAGATATTATGTGTTTTCTTTCCAAAAACTTTGACTAAATTACTTAATTTGAACGAAAAACGAAAAAAAAACTATCACTGTAAATCGAACAGTATTCACAACAAATGACTTGGCTTTTCAAATGCTCAGATCAATATGAATCAACCGGTACCCGTTTGACACATCAAGCTGAATTTGGTTGTGACACGAACACCGCACATCGTGATAAAATATTGAAACGCTCACGATGTCGTTGTCACCAGTAGCTTGGTTTCCAAATGATATTTCGATAGCAGATTTCTTCCACAGGCTACGGATCAAAATTGTAAACAAACAAAAAACACACAACAATCAATGGTTTGTTGATTTCAAAAATCACATGCACACGGTGGCATTGTTTGGTTCGATCCGGTTCGATCAGTAGTTCGATGTCACAACGATAACAATTCAAATGCGTTACCCCTTTTCCATTTTGATTTTAGTTGCTGGCTGTTCAATATGAATCTAGTCGAACGAAGCAAAGTTTTATATTTCATGACATGGTTCAACATCATCATCATCATTTACATCATATTTCATGATTTATTCTTCACGTACATTACTTTGATTGGATCCCAAGAAATGATAATTAGACTGTGTGTATCGGTAATTTGCTGTCTTTCAACGGAATCGATTTTATCTGTGTGTGTGTGTGTGTATGTGTGAAATTGAAATTGAGACACACCGCATTGACCTAGGGGCATTTAACTCGAAAAAAATTCGTTTTATGCGAAGAATATGCGCTTCAACTCATAGTATGTGGCGATTTCTTCGTACTATGCGTATTATGCGGTGCCTATTCGTTAGAAGTGCACACATTCGATGTCCGAATACTGCACATAGACCATTCATACTGCGAATAATTTCGCATGAATCCTACTAAAATGTTTCCTTCTCTGATTGGTCACACGTCACAATATCGACTATTTTGAATTCAAAGTGCAACGACTTTTTTCATGTAAAAATTCAAGAAATACTTGACTGCAAGTGTTTGATTTGTACTTATTTCGGCTCACATTTTTTGCTGATCATTTTTATTAACTTCAATCATTTGTACATATGGATTTTTTTATTATTTATAATCCAGATGCTATTTCCAAGTATAATGAATCGTCGCACTTATTTTTTCAACGATTTTTATATCTACCAAAACTATCGGCGATTTTACTTCAATATTTGTATAATATAACATTTTGATTTTCGTTTTCATTCTTATTCTTTGCTATTATATTTTAATTTTGTGTTATATTTAAATTCAATTTTCATCAATTAAGAACAATCTCATTAGCAAGAGATTTGATAAATATTAAAGACAGATATTGTTGATGTCAAATATTGTTTGAACGAAACTTAACGATACAACAGAATGTTGACATTGTGTTGATGCGTCTTAAATCGCATCGTGGCGTCATTATGTGCACGCGTATTCGCTTCTATGCGTAATATTCGTGACTATGTGCAAAATTCAACACACTTCACTGTGGCACACAATCTATGCGCGTTTATCCGTACAAATCACATATATGAAAAAGAGTAAAAAGCCCCTAGGCATTGACTCGAATCTTTTTTCTTCCTTTAAATTCTCTAAATAGTAATTTTAATGCAAGCCAATCTCAACGATATACATATTCAAGAGGAGTGAGTTGTTGGTTTGTTCTTTCAGGTATTGGCGGATGCAAAAACAATGAAAATACCAGGAATATGAGAACAATTCCAAAGGTAAAATAAAGAAAATAATGAACGGTGCATGTACGTTCGTTGGCTCAATTGTTGCTGTAGTGGAGGACAGAGATGTAAATTGACAATAATTTCAATACACTTCGTTTGGAATGCCAATATAAAGGTAAGGAAAAAAAAGAAGAGAAAAGAGCCATTATATCCAAAATGGGTTGTGATTGAAAGAATAGAAGCTTTTAAAGTGACTGTTGATTGATAGGAATGCATTATTATTGGATAGAGCGACTTTGAGTTGAGTCTATGGGCGAAGAGGCGAGCGCGATACGAGAATCGCATAAACGATTTTTTATATCTTTTATTTGATGTTGAAGTTTTTATTTGGTTTTCATTTCCTTCAATCGCGTCTGCATCGTGTCGCGCACATATAACAACGCACAATATTATGTTCCTGTTTGTTTTTTTTTTATCGTTATGGATTTCGGTTTTTTTTTATTTCATTTTATGTTTTATACTATCGGTCTTTGAATGAAGTGAAAATAATAATGTCGAAAATTCACATGCATTCACATCGGTCGAATGAGTCATCTAATAATAATCGTAGTCAACCCGTTACAACAGCTATTACAAACAACAACGAGAACAATGTGAACGAATAAAAAAAAAAGAAAGAAATTAAAAATGAAATTCTATACGCGCACTCGCGCGTTTGACAAACACAAGAGGCCATGCATCGGATGGAAATTTAAACAAATGAGCTCGTTCCTCTTCTTTCTCTTTCTCTCTCTCTCTCTCTCTGTACAAAGTAAACTCGTGCGACTGCGTTTTGATCGCAGGAGCACTTCGAAAATGGGACAGAGAAAAATTGTATTTTGAACGGAAATTTAATAGTTAATGGCCGAAACATTTGAACTGTGCACGATTTGGATTGTGCGCGAACGCGATCGTTTCCCAAAGACACACATAGAGATGGAGATGCTGGATGTAAATTAATTAACCCGAACTAGATCTAAAACTGAAGCGCCTCTGAAAGTGCATGACCCGCATCATGATAAATATTTACACTGGAGAGCGAAAGAGCAAATGTCCATTACACAAACGGCACGTTTCATGCGATACAGTCGATTTGTCGATCATAATTTTTCGTGTCGTTTTTGAACTTTTTTTTCGCTCTCCAGAGCAAACAAATTAGTAAGTGTAAACCGTCCGATAAATTTCCAGTATGAGTTGCTGCTCCATCATCGCGCACACAATGCACTTTTTCGATAAACAAAATAGGCCGAGTATAGTATAGCCTGCATGCATGCACAACTATTGAATTGACGGCGATCCGCACGTCGATCGAAATCATAAATTGAACATGTTTATGTTCTATTTGTTTGTTTATTTTATTTCGCCTGTGTGTTGTTTTCTCTCTCTCTCTCTCTCTCTCTCTCGTGCCTAGCTCTTTCACTCCCCCTAGAGTGAAATGCTATTGTTTGAACATTTTTCGAGCTGGTCTGACGAAAGATGTAAAAACTAGAGAAAAAGAGAGAGAGAGAGAGAGAGAGAGAGAGAGAGAGAGAGAGAGAGAGA